CTTTCTCCCCCTCTCTCTCTCTACACTTACTCGGGTCCCTGGGTGCCTGACCCGTCCAATTCAGATACTGATCCGCAAATTGAACTTTCTCCAGATGACCTTCACACGTGACCAGCTGCTCTTCTGTTGCCACCAGACAGCGGCCCTCTAGTGGACAGAACTGGTTCCACACGGTGCCGTAGGGGCAGTCCTGCTCCAGGTAACGTCCCGACAGACTGCAGACGTAGAATTTGTTGCAGGCGTCGTGCGGCGTGAAGCGGGTAACGTTGTAGTCGCATTCTGCCACTTCCGGTTCGCCGAACAAGCGGAACGGGAAACCGTTGAAGTCGACAGCGACACCTGGAATCGGTAATATCACATGTGGAAGAAAATTATTATTGTTTTTTTTTGGGGGGGGGGGTATTAATGCGCCGATGTTAGTCATTAATTTGTTGATAATTAATAAATGAAATAATGCACAGGTTGGTTTTAGTAAGCGACGCAGATGTTTGCCCAATACGCACGCACGCACGCACGCACGCANCATATATATATATATATATATATATATATATATATATATATATATGCGCGTATGTGTGAGTGCGTGCGTGCATGCGTGTGTGCGTGCGTGCGTGCGTGCGTGCGTTTGTGCGTGCGTGCGTGAATGTGTGTCATACATATACGTGATCGCCTGAATGTGTGTCATACAGAGGTTACGCATAATATAAATGTGCTTAGCTCATAAAACCAAACAGCGACCCAGAAGTTTATCCCCCTATCGGCAATACATTCTACCTCCTACCTCTTATCTCCTTCATATCTAACTAATAATCCTTCTCCCTCTTCCCCCTCTCTCGCTTTCTCTCTCTCTCTCTCTCTCTCGCTCTCGCTCTCGCTCTCTTCATCTCTCTCTCTNACACACGTACACACACTCTTGACTACAATAGACACTCTTGAGAACCTATATAACATATCCGATAGCATCCCTTTATATACCGCCGTGTGTGGATACCTTTCCTATGTACTAGGTCTAGGTCGCCGCTATATACCTGCTGTATGCACGCAGACATAGAGCATCTATGCATAGAGCTAGCCCCCCAGGCTACGCGGATGTAGACACGCGGATTTCCCTCACACCACTACCGACAAGCATTCAGACGCTAAGAGCGTGTGTGTGTGTGTGTGTGTGTGTGTGTGTGTGTGTGTGTGTGTGTGTGTGTGTGTGTGTGTGTGTGTGTGTGTGTGTGTGTGTGTGTGTGT